TAGTGGCATCAGTTCAGCTAAGAGGGGATTGGGTCAGTACAGGTATTTATTTAGTTAATTCCCTTTCATTGGCTTTCTTTGCTTGCTAGGCATTTTTCCCTTTAAACCCTTTAGAATCTTTCTTGTCACTAGTCAAAAGTGGCTGTGCATTTTTGGTCAGTATCCCTAGTTGACTGAATGCTCTACACTCTGGACAAGATAAAAAAACTTGAACCAGGTTTGATTGTATGCCTGCATTTAAGTTCAATATTTATGGTTTCTGAACATGCGTAGAGAGAGTAACCGCTGTGACTAACGTTGGCTCATGTTCCGATTTCTACCAGAGGTCTTGATTTCTTGGTGCTGACCAAAAGGATTGCAGTGAACATTGCTTTAGAATCTGAGCTTATTCACAACCCTCAAATCATGTCACTAGAAAGTCAGTTAGCAATACTATAAATTTTTTCTTTCTTTTTTAGTGGAAAAACATTCACATTGATTGACAATACTGTATATATTTATTATTAACAGGAAACAGAAACTTGAAGCAACCAGTTCATTCATTGAATCTATGGAAAAAGATCTTGAGGAAAATGATGAATTGAAAGATGAAGACAGATAGCAAATTAAAATATTATTAAGTTTTTCTGTAATTTTTTGAAGTGCAACTGGATGAGCTTAAGTCTGGGATCACCCAAGGAGAGGATGTACCAGTCAAACACAATGTCTGGAAAAGTAGAGAATTTCATTAGGCAGTAGCCCCTAACTTCAACAAACAAAAGTCTGTAATGTTAACATCATTGAAAACTAAGACCATCAGATGAAGTTACAGGCAAGTGAAAATCTATGAAGCTCGCACATAATGTTTGGATAAAAACATGAGTAGTAAAATTCAAGTCTTACAAATTCTCTGTGGTGATTTTAACTAATGACACAGACTTTATAAAGCACAATAGCGAGCTACAGTCAACATAAGAATTAGAATCAGCATGCCATATGCATGAAAGGAATGATAATACTTAAATGTTCTTATTCTTGCTGGAAAGTGAAAACCAACCTTATCAAATAATCTATTGTATTATTTTTTGTTACAAGCCTCTTATCACACCCATTAGAGCAGTGTTGTCCAGTCTGTTTTTAAGCAGTTTTAAATGTATTGAATAATAATTTCAATTTCAAATAACCATCATGTTTACTTATCTAGTCACATTTATTTTGTTGTCCATAATTTCACTTTGAAACTTGATTACATGATGGATAATTTGTAACTTTTCCACCCATGATTGTACAGTTTATGTACAAGAAACATGTGTCATTGTTTAGTGAAAATTTTTGGAAATCATGTTATCATCAAAATGTTGCACATGATGAAGTCTGTCTGCTATGTACAGGTCATTCTGACATAAGGTTACGGTCCAGTACATTTTACCTGCATGATAATGTTTACATGTTTGTTGTACCCTTTGAGAACATATGAATAATAAAAAGCTTATAATAAAAGTTTTAGCTCATATGAATTATTGCTGTTTATAAAATCTTAGAACAGTGGAACCCTATTAATCCAGCCACCAACTGGCTGCAAAAATCTAGCTGTATTAATGGGGTGGCTATTTAAATAAGAAAGTGACTGACTGAACTTCTGTTCTGGCCACAATAAATTGGCCGTAATTAACGAGGTGGCTGGATTAATGGGGTGGCCATAAGGAGGGTTTCCTCTGCATCTTACATCAGGTTATTGAAATAACCTCTGTTACTCCACATAATTTCATCTCTTTTTGACATTAAAATAATCATTACAATTTGAAAGGATTACAGTTCCCTTCAAGTCTAAGGGACCTACAGTCTTTTTTGGTGAAATACATAGCTCAGATATAAATACAAGTCTCCCCCTAAAGCCTTAGTTACAGATAAACAGGGCGACAGTGCCTCTACCCCTTGCCAACTAGTGGCAACCCAAATCAATGCGAAATTCCTGTACGTGAAGGTTGTGAAAATCATGTTTATACCTCTTCAATTTGTTGTCGAAGATTTCTGTCCTTCTCAGTCACTAAGGCCAACCATTCTTCCTCAAGGCAGCGGCATTGATCATCTGTGGGAGTTTATATATTAAGCTTATCAATCAAGGTCAGCT